CATCATTCTAGACAGAAATAAATGGCCTTTTTAGAAAGTGAACCATGGATGGGGAAATGTTGGCAGTTTTCTCAAAAAAGGCTTGAATTCAAGAATTTTAGCGATTGGAATGAAATTTGCAGGGTGTGTAGATGCAACTTTTTTTGTCCAGACTGTAAAAATTGCAAGTCGTTGCTTGCTCTAGATTGCAAATTACGAATTTTTAAACTTTTTTTCACGTGTTCTGAATTAAAATCTGCGATTCAACAGTTTAACTTGCCGGTGTAAATCAGGATTTAACGCGATTGGTATAACATTTTAACAATTTTTTGAGCAAATTGTCGTGTATAAATTGCGTAGGTTTCAGGTTCTTCGTTGTGTTAAGGGATTGATTAATTTCCCGATGTAAATTTTCGCTAAAACCACTGAAAATCACTTTTTTTGCTTCCAAGTTTGTAATACAGCGGCGGTAAAGTTAGGGGCAAAAAATTCCTTTCAGCTCCAAAATTGTTCATCACTATCACTGGTAATAGTAATTGGATAGAACGGTTTAGTAGCCTATATGAGATAGTTTTTGAGATACCGAAGGAAAACTACGAAAAAAATAAACTTTGGATTAGCTTGAGTCACCCTGTATATGTAAAACTAACTGAGTAAGTACTGTATTATATCTATATTCATTTCATTGCTATTATTAGTCTAACTGGATCTAATTGGGTGAACTATTGGAATTCTGTACATTCTATTCTCCAAAGGATTCATTACTAATTGTAAACACCCTAAAAAGTAAGCAACATTAGAAAAAACCTGCTCTTAATACAGTTTGAGGCTCTTTCACTAAACAACCTGGCACGCAAACGCTTTTTAGTAGCGACTGTAGAAAAACGCGATCTTCTTGCGCTCAATCGGCAAAAAATATCCTGTATTGATACGGTTTGGTGCTCCAACAATGGAAAAATAGTGTCTGTGACCAATGGGAGAACGTAAGTATTGAAATACAGCATATTTTTTGCTTAATAATGTGTGGTGAAACTGAACAAGGAATTTTCAGGTTTGTTGCGCTCTCGCAGAGCCATCCACATGCCTGAGACGTTCGAGGCAAATAAACCCTTTCTGTTTGCACTCTCGTATGGCGAACGCCTCGAGAGGAAAGATGCCAATAAGGGCGTTTTGTTCATTGGAAAAATGCTGAAGCCTTCTGTGGGGCTTCAGACGCCACATGATGAACTTTAGGTCCAGATTAAACGGGAAATAATAATGATAATAATAAAAGCCATAAAACACACGTAAATATTGCCTATACGGGTATGTTCTGAGTCAGTGTTCGTTCAGTGTTGCTTTGGTGCAATCGAATCGGAAGTTTGCTTTGAAGTAATACACCTTTTCCTACACTAGGGAAGGTCTTTATGGTTCGCATGTTTTCTAAACCAGGAATGCCCGTGGATTTTTTTGCCGATCATCCGTTTTTGTTCTATTTGGCCCAACGATTGCCGTTTCGAAAGAAACATGTATTGTGCAAGGGAAAACTAGTGCGGGTTTCAACCTGAAATTCTTGAAACACTTTCTGGCCTGAAAGGCCAGGAATCATCATGTAGTTGATGTCGAATATTAAGCTTCAAAGTTTGTATTTTATTGTACTTGCAACGATTTATATTAGAGTGATTTTGCACTTAATAAACTGGTTTTGTAAGATTGGTTTTAATTTTCGGCTGCTTTTGGTGAAAGCCCCAGTAACACAAATTCGCTTCACACTTGTTATCGAAAATGCTACTCTGCTTGGTAGAACACCCTCACTTAACCCCTTGTAGATAAATCAACCAATAACCGCTACCTTAGTAGTTCGAGCCCGTTTCTTTTCGTAGTTAGACGATTATTGATTATCAATTCACCCATATGGTCTATTTGGCGTAGGTGCGGTATTCCAGATGAGATGCTTGCCATTTGTCCATGAATTCACAGCCGATCATCCATTCATTCTAGCTTTGGTCGCCACTCAGGAAAACATCGACATGGTTCTGTTTTCTGGACGCGTAATGACCATTCCACAGTAGAAAAGTGGGCTCTGAAGACGAAAAAATCATTATAATTGTGCACTTTCGAAAAGGCTTTAACACTGCTTAACACCCTGTATAGACGACGTTCTTTTCACGTGCTCCAGTCTATCACTCCACTAATCAAGCTAAGCAAAGAGCGCAAAGACGTTAGAACTTGGCAAAAATACCAAATGGACTTCGAGGCCCATTATGGTTGCTTCGCCAAAACAGGAGTCTCAATTTTATTAAGGAAAATCTTTGGTTTAGGGTTTTTTGATCATAAAATGTCGCATTCGCCTTTTAATCATGATCTTATAGAACATGCGGTGTTTCATGTTAAGGTGGTCTTATAAGAGAAACCCGCATTATCCTGGATTTTCTGCAATAAAATCCGTCTAAGATTTACAACGATTAGAAAGCCAGTATTTTCTACAAACTGTCTGTTTTCTCCAGATTCTCAAATTTGTGCTGGTTTGAAAGCGGCGAATTTCTAAATGAATCCTTGCAGTTGCGCCAAAACAGTCATTTTAGGTCCAGGATTTGCAAAGTTGTAAAAAATCGGAAGGCGGTTTGACTAGAATTTATCTTTGACTGTTTTTAATTTTATCTGCTTTCTTCCGAATTCGGAAAATTTCAAGTTACTTGTTCCAGATTAAAAGATGTTTTTTTAACGGAACGCATGCGGTTGTTGTTCCCGCGCTCTTGTAATTTCAGTGCAATTTTTTTAATTTTGTCAAAAATCACAATTAGTTCCATTTTGCTTGAAATTTTGTGCATTTTTAGGCGCARYTGTTTTCTTTAKATTGTCAAAATTTCAAGTAAATACTTGTTCCAGATTAGCAGTTATGCATTTTTTAGCGGAACCATGCATTTTTGCCAAAACCGTAATTTTTGGTCCAGACTTGGCACAGTTGTAAAAAGTCAAAAGGCGGTTCGATTTGAATTAATCTTTGAGCGTTTTTAAGTTCGACTGTTTTCTTCAGGCTGGGAAAATTTCAAGTTACTTGTTCCAGATTAAAAGATGTTTTTTTAACGGAACGCATGCGGTTGCTGTTCCCGCGCTCTTGTAATTTCAGTGCAATTTTTTAAATTTTGTCAAAAATCATGGTTAGTTCCAATTTGCTTGAAATTTTGTGCATTTTTAGGCGCAGTTGTTTTCTTTAGATTGTCAAAATTTCAAGTAAATACTTGTTCCAGATTAGCAGTTATGAATTTTTTAGCGAAACCATGCATTTTTGTCAAAACCGTAATTTTTGGTCCAGACTTGGCACAGTTGTAAAAAGTCAAAAGGCGGTTCGATTCGAATTAATATTTGAGCGTTTTTAACTTCTACTGTTTTTTTCAGGCTGGGAAAATTTCAAGTTACTTGTTCCAAATTAAAAGATGTTTTTTACCGGAACGCATGCGGTTGCTGTTCCCGCGCTCTTATAATTTCAGTGCAATTTTTTAAATTTTGTCAAAAATCACAATTAAATCCAATTTGCTTGAAATTTTGTGCATTTTTAGGCGCAACTGTTTTCTTTAGATTGTCAAAATTTCAAGTAAATACTTGTTCCAGATTAGCAGTTATGAATTTTTTAGCGGAACCATGCATTTTTGTCAAAACCGTAATTTTTGGTCCAGACTTGGCACAGTTGTAAAAAGTCAGAAGGCGGTTCGATTTGAATTAATCTTTGAGCGTTTTTAACTTCGACTGTTTTCTTCAGGCTGGGAAAATTTTAAGTTACTTGTTCCAAATTAAAAGATGTTTTTTACCGGAACGCATGCGGTTGCTGTTCCCGCGCTCTTGTAATTTCAGTGCAATTTTTTTAATTTTGTCAAAAATCACAATTAAATCCAATTCGCTTGAAATTTTGTGGATTTTTAGGCGCAACTGTTTTCTTTATATTGTCAACATTTCAAGTAAATACTTGTTCCAGATTAGCAGTTGTTAATTTTTTACCGGAACAATCAACTTTTGTCCGTAACCGTAATTTTCGGTCTCGACTTTGCAAAGTTATCAAAACCTAAGATTCTCTGTGCTTGGAGTGAAATTTTTAGGATTGATTTATTCGCCTGTTTTCTCCGGACTATGAAAGTTTCAGACCGCTGCCTGTTCTAGATTCAAAGTTACGATTTTTTTAAGAAAACAGTGCAGTTGAGCGCAATTTTTGGCATAGTAAATTTGGGACCAGGTTTTCAAAACTTAAAAAACACATTCAAGGCGTTCAAATCCCTTTCTGCAAAAAAAACAGTGAAATTTTATAATTACTTATAAGACTCCAATACAGTATGGCAATGAAAGTAACAAACACTTAAAGTAATCATAAAGAGACATTTTTCCAGTTCTTACCTTAAACTGTCCTAAGATCTACAATGTTTAGAAAGCCAGAAAATCCCGTACGTATTTTCAAAGCACTTCATTTGCCATCCTCGTCACCTAGTTTTTGCTACGTTTCGCCAACACTACTGTAGTGCACCTTCAGAGGTAGTCTTTTACGGCTCCCAAGTGCAAATATCAGTGAAAACATACCATAACAATTACAGTGCATGAGATGGGTTCAATGGCTGCATGGGGGTTTCAATAAGGCAAAAATCTCCATCAGATTGGGATTCAGTAATTTTTTGATTTCTTCATTAGGCATTCATATAATGCCTCGAATGTCTATTGGAAAGAAAAAGCTGCCAAGGCAGTTCACCGTTGACCATCCATGCATGGTAATGTTAGAGAAAAAACTGCGATTGAGACGAAAGAAGGGCAGGAAAACCTCATTTCCACTCTTGATGGGACGAGTTAGTCGTGTTTAGAGCGCCTATTGTATTATTCCCCATTCATTTTTGAGAGGATACTAGTTTCTCACTGATTATTTATTTGTAAGTACATGTCTATAGAATGAGGAGAAACAGCTGATCCATTTCCATACAAATATTGAGATTTTTTTAAATTCCGTCAAAATCTCTTCAGGAACCACACTATTTAGGCAAACTTTCTGGATGTTCACGTGCTTTTTATCCCTGTTTTTTTCTATGCACCACAGCTGTTTTTTCCAACTGCTAAGCCAAAGAAACGCGTCAATTTCCATTAGTCTAAGAACTGTTACGGAGACAAAAACGCACAAGATTTAGTTTAGTATTACTGATTTACTCACTCAAGCTAATGTACTGAGCACATTGTAAAATGGTTAATAAACAATTTAATTTATGGAAACTAGTGTGTTTTTACCAGCCCAATAGCGATTTACTCCCGGTTATACTGATGTTATACTGATGAAAACGAAAAGTTCCCAACTAGTTGCATGCTTTGTTAATTTACCTGCAGAAATTCTCACCGGCTTCGAGTTTTCGAGACGGTTTTTCTGAGCTGTGCAATTTTTATTTGCGTATTCAGCAGGGAGTTGCATGGCATTGATTTCGCTTTCTCATTGCAAATAGCGGATTAAAGTGTGCAGGTTGCAAGTAAATCTGAGCATGTAGGTATATTGAATTTTTGAACTCTCCCAGTTGTCGAAGGAGTGCCTAAATCAACTGCGTTTTCATGGCTTCTGCTGCTCCAGCACTTTACGGTCGATCATCCATGTATATTTCTGGTGCGATCGCACGATGAAGAGCATTCTACAAGCGGATTTTCCAAAATTTTGTTCATTGGCAAGCTGAGCAATGAGCAAGTTTTTATCCGCTAAACCAGCCCAAGAATAACCGGATCAGAAGCACCTGGGGAATTTAATCCAATGTGCCCTTAAGTCTTAATGTTATACTAATGAGCTGATTGAGCAAACGTATGAATAAATATTTTCATTTTTCAAAGCTCGTCTCTCTTTGCGTTGCCTGCAACTGATCATTAACGTAAAAACGCGCATAATTAGCTAAGGTGATTTCGTTTTTAAAAGACGGGACAGCATTTGAAGCAATATTTAAATGCAAAGTGGGTTTTAAAAGTTTTTTTTTGGATTGTTGTAGACGAAAGCCCCCGGTTTGGTCCAGATAAATCATTTAAAATCGACTTCGCATTTAAATATTGCTTCAAATGCTGTCCAAATTGCTATTCCAGAAACGGTCACTCCCGGTTAATTGGGATTTAAAAAAATCACGCATGTTGTTCACCGCAATTGATGATCAATTCTAAGTCGCATTAACAAATAACTTTGGTTAATTTCTCCTTAGAAGTGCGAATTCGCCCCAAATCTGCACTGATTATACTATTTTCAAACTTCATAGTAGACCATCCCTGCATATTCATGGTGAAGTCGAACCGATCGCACATTTTATTCCTGGGCAAGCTGGCCGCTGCCGATGTGGTTTTTCATTAATCACCAGCAAAAATTTGCTGTATTTACTTAAGTAAGTGTTAATCAACCATGTAAATAGTCTGAAAATGAGCAGCAAAAAATAAAAGTGTTTCAAAAGCGATAAATTAAAGTTGAAATCCTCGAAATATCGAAACATCGACGACTAGTAAATAGACGTTTTATTTCCGATTTTTTGTGATTTTTTATAAACCATAACTGCTTTCTTTTTTAAAGCGTACAGTTCCGAACGATGTGCTTCTTTGATGTTGATTTACCTGCAATCAATTACGTTCAGGGACGGAATATTTGGCAAATATTCTCAGGGGTTTAGAAGATTCGGGACGGTTTTCCTTAATGCAATCGTTCCATTTGCATATTCTGCATGGCCTTGCATGGCATTGATTCGTGTAAATTGTGATTAATTTATGAGTTCTCCAGCTGTATCACTACAACTAAGAACCGTAGTGTTTTTGGAGGTGCCGCCCCGGAATCTTATAGTCGATCATCCCTTTATATTTCTGATGAGATCGCACGATGAAGAGAGTTCTACCAGAGAATTTTCCAATGTTTTATTCATTGGCTCGATCAACAATGGTCAATTTTTAATCCGCTAAACCAACTAATGGCTAGTCATTATATTCAAGAGCTGATTGAGCGCTTTGTAAAAGTATGAATAAATATTTGTATTTTTAATGCTCGTCTCTCTTGGCTTTTTATTTAAACAATTCAACAGTTTTTGCATTTTTGGCCAAAAATAACAGCCGTCAACTTCATATTTAAAATTTGATGTCAATGCCATTTTTGAAATTGTCATGTTTTGACGTTTGTAAATTTTCAAAAGCGTACTTTTGTAAGCAAATACAAGTGAAACAATGAGTGTTGAAAATGCAAGTGCTGCTTTCATGGTGGTGCTGTTTTAAAAAAGCGGGTTTTGCGTGTGGCAACATCGGCGAGCGCAGAAAATAGACCATTTGAACGACTTGAGACTGAACTTGTAACAAAGTTATAATTTACAAATTGTAAGTAAACTTTAAATTGTGATCAATAGTTCTCTATAAACTTATGTAATTCATTAAAAAGCCTGTCGGTTACTTTTTAATTACAATCCTTTAAAATATTTTATGACAGTGACACATTCAATTTGTCACATTTACTTTTGCGCACATGTGCGTAAAGCCCGTGTTCCATGCATCCTTTTATACGATGATACGATGGTACGAAAGTGTTATGAAATGAATGTTATGAAATAGAAACACTTTCGTACCATCGTATAATCGTACAAACGGATGCGTGGGGCACGGGCCTAAAAGTAAAACAAATGAACAGTAAAGAAAAGTGCTTCTTTTTGACCATCGCTTCTGATCGAAAAATGGCACTTTTAGACTCATTCAAATAAAAAATCCATTTAGTTGCAATAAATTTCGTTCAAAATCCGAATATTCTCGCGGGCTTGGAACATTGAGGACGCTTTTCCTGATGTTTGCAGTCAATTCTGTTTGCATATGCGGCATGGACCTGCATGATTTTCGTTTTCGCATTGCAACTAACGCATTTAAGTGTTCAGTTTGCCATAAAATCCCAGTATATTTTGACGAATTTATACTCTCTAGCCGTCGTAGTGCGCACAAGATCAAGAAAGTTTTCCAGGGTGCTTCCCCAGAATCTTACAGTAGATCATCCATGTATATTTCTGGTGAGATCGCACGATGAAGAGCATTCTACAAGTGGAGTTTCCAATATTTTGTTCGTCGGCAAGCTAAGCAATGGCCAATTTTTCAACCGCTAAACTACCCAAAAACTGTTAAAATATCTTATAATAGTCCAACTAGAAGCCAAGCAATTTTTGCGCCTTCAAGGTTAGTCTTAATGTTTTATTGATGAGCTGATTGACCACTTTGTAAAAGTGTAAGGATGAATAAATATTTGCTTTTGCAAAGCTCGAATTCACAAATGTAAGTGTTTTTCTGTCTAAAGTTAGTGGCTGAAATTTGTCAAACGATATTTGAGCAGGAATAAATGCTACGGACCAAAAACCATACGAAAATTTTCAGTAGGCGGGAAAAAGTTCAAGTTGATTTTAAAAATTTTTTGCGATTTTTCAAAAGCAAACTGCATGTAAAAACAACCTGACTAAATATTGCTTCAAATGCTCGCTAACGCAGTTTCTACCTTTAAGCAAGCATAAGTTGAAAATTGATAGTAAATCAAAGCAAAAATAAGATGGAGCGATCGGTAGAACTTGTCCGAGTGGATTTTACAAAAATGATCCAGTATCAACACGTTTGACAATCTTTGCATAGCAATCCACGTTATTAACGTCGAATTTTAACCACTCCAGAAAAACCTACATCTTTGCTTTATTACCTTTAATGCGTGTGTTGGAAAATATTTGTTAAAAGCATTTTTAGGCATGTTTTCCCATACAGATTTTTAGGCAATAACTACTATAATGATTGTGTTTTAAAGTCAAAAGCTTATGAGCATCGCATTGGAGAATAATCGAGAGTTGAATTTTCGGGTTGGCTTCTGGGACGATTTTATGAATCCATATGAATGTCCATGCATCTCTTGCATCCAATTTGCTTCTATGTGCCCTGAGAGCGATTCACTGCACTTTCATAATACTCATACTCAAAGGGATATTTTTTTGAGGGTAAAACCCAATTATCGATTATAGTTTGGTTTTTCCTCTAGCGACCAGAATCGACCTTCGGGAAATCGACTCCAATAGTCCAAAAATTTACGGTAGATCATCCCTGTATATTCATGGTGAAATCTAAGCTCAAAAACGACATTTTCAATGTTTTGTTTATGGGAAAACTGGCCACTGATGGGGCTTTTACCCACTAATTATGGAAATGGCAACGATATGAATATTCAGGGCGAGTATGAACTATTTAGTTGATAAAATGTGAACAAGGGCGGATCCA